GCAGACTTTGAAATGCAGTCGTTCGTTTAACCCTCCTGTACGTTTGTAAACCTTAGCCAATATGGTTGACAGACATAAAGAGATCCGACCATCGCTGTCTTCGCAGCTTACCTCATGTCTGGTTGGAACACCGCGTGAGAAATGAGAGTGTTTGGCGTAGTGTATTTTGTACAGGAAGAGCGATTGAACTCCTCAGCACCACTATATCACCCACCATGCTCCGATGGCTGGACCATGGGTTGCGCAGTTAAGTCCAGCGACTCCCACTTCGTGCGTTGTTCGCGTGGCCGGATGGAGATAGAACAAGAGGAGAGGAAGTCAAGCGATAACTTGGTGAGGGGGAATGAAGTTCGCCACTTCGGACTTGGCGTTGGTCAGTGCATCCTGACTTTCAGGCTAGGGTCCGAAGGACAGTAAAATATTAGTGAGTAGTTGGGGGATTTATTTGGTTCTTGTGAAGATTTATCGCAGCTAGACTCAGATATACAACCACCACACATTGAGGAAAGCGCTGGAGGGTCCTCTCATCTTATTTGGACTTGTCAGTAGCGCGAACCGACCGAATCCTGCTGGATTCGAACCCACGATCAGATTCTTGGGACTTACGCCACTGAGACATGGGCGACGGCAGCGGACGGCCACTGATATATAACTGCCATATAGCGCGGCTCCTCCTCCACTGTGAACTTGCAGACGACAGGGCTGGCCGCCAGAGACACGGCTTCCTTTGCAAGCCGCTACTAGCCGAGGTGACAGCCGAGCTGTTAACGTGACTACTGATTATTTGTAAGTAATAGGGGATATGTTGGGTTTTGTGGAGATTCGTCGCAGCTAGATTCAAGTAGACAGCCAGCACACATTCAGGAAAGCGCTAGACGGCCATTCCGTTCTACTGGGACTCGTCAGTAACGCGACATCTTCGAATCCTGCCGGGTTCCAACCCAGGACCTTACTATACACGTTCAGCGCATGCATGACAGTAGAGGGCGAGCCGCGGTATAGGGCAGCAAGATGCCAGTCATGACGGTTCGGTGCCGTCACCAATGTGTTGGTGGCTTAAGTCGCTGGCTCGCAAGAGTAAGGTCCTGGGTTCGAATCCGGTAGGATACTGTGAGTGCGCGTTACTGACGAGTCCTAATAGGATGAAACGAGCGGCTAGCGCTGTCCCGGACATGTGGTGGCTCTGCCTGAGCCTAGCTGCTACGAATCTCTACAAAAGAGACAATGAATAAGTTTGGTTGGACACATCTTTTGACATGGGGAAGAGACCACCTCAGTGGCGTTCGTGTTGTAAGATTCCTTGTCCAACCCCTCTTCTTTAGCTTCCTCCTCCGAGAACTATCACCAACCCCAGACAAAATATGATATTTCGCAATATATAAATTCGCTTTACAAAGTTTTAGCAGCCTGCAAAAATTTTATATTTTTTTTGTATTGCGGCACATTAACTTAAGTGTGATTCTCACTCGAAGCTAACATGTATTAGTGTTGATGTTAATAAGTATCGGCGATAAGAGTCTGTTCAAGCGTAGAGAGAGTTTCAATAAGGCAACGCGGATCAAAGCATAAGTTAATATATCCGGTGTGGTGTTCGCACTCCGAATAGGTCTTTGTTTGTGGGGACTAAAAGGTCAGTTGAAGCCAGTATCGCATGGAGTTTCGCGATAGCTGCTGTGGAGAAGTCTCACTGTTTGCGTCTTGAAGGTCAAAGACACAATTTTGGTTTTGCCGTAAATGTTGGCATATCTGTTGGATGCGGTGGTCTGAGTTTTCGAGGTAAGACCACTTTAAAGTAGAAAAAACGATTTGTTTGTGAAAACAAAATCCAACTATGCGCCAAATCTGGTTCCGATAGATACCGCATTCTTTTAAGCCAAGTATCTTGAGTAATTGCCTATCACTTGTTAAAGTCACAGAAGATAGCTACAGAACACGTATCTTCTCCATGACACTGAAAATGATCCTCTTGTGGTTAATGATAAAAAACGGGCTTCAGAGTTCTAACTAGCGTTGCACCAGCGCATCCTCGGTGCTCAAAATTGGGCAGTGAAAACCGACTTCGTTTGTTAGGTAAAATGATAAGAGGAATGAAGTGCGTTAAGCCAAGAAAGAAATGCCGCTTTAATCTCGAGCGATAATCATCTATTGGTGGCCCAACAGCGCTCACAATTTGCAGACGCCTCGACACAAGCTTGCTAGCCAAAATCATTTATGCTCTGCGTTTATTTACGCTCATCATAACTTGAATTGCAGCAAGAAAGACGCGGCAATGAAGCACAATCTTTATTGACGCGATCACAAGCTATGCCACTACCCATGCAGGCGTCCATTAATGAGTCACGTTTCCATCCCACGGCGTAACATATCTCCGGGTTTCCGTTCGCGACACATCCATGCACTGGGTCATCGTGGTAGAATATTCCCTGCTCATTTTACCCCCGTACCTCCGCTTCTACGCGTCTCATTCTGATCGGCCCGGAGTCGTTCTATAGCACGTGATTTGTGTGACTGCTGGTACATCACACTAATTGTGGTCAGTCCGGGAGGCTACAATAACTGCGCTTATGTTTGATTTGTTACGTTCTTGATGATTACTCTCTCTATTCTGCCCGCCTCAGACTCACTAGCGGATGCCGCTAGTGACCCCGTTCTTGTCTCGTTCCGTCAGACCAGCATGGCTCCGTCTGCCCGCCCTCCTTGCACCTGTTCCCGTTTCCGCCCACCCCCTTTTTATCGTAGTCTTTCTGTCTTTCGGGAAAGCGCTGCCTTCCGCTACGCTACGGTATTCCTTGGCAGCAAGGTCTTCCTGTTGATCCATGATTGTACCGCTGCAAAATGTCAGTAAACCACAAATGCATTTACATTGAGGATAGGAGAATGTGCTACCTGACCGTTGCTATTAGCTTCCGTTGGATTCCGGCAAAGGGGACTGAAAGTGCAACAAAACACCACCCGTCAAAAATTTCGTGCGCTAAGCAGCACTATGTTGGATGCTATTAATAGAGAGGTAAGCGGAGCCAATGTCCAAATACGAGGCTGTGCACGGGCTTACCGTGGAGCACATGACCTGTGTTGCATGTGAAGGTCATCCGCACGGGGGTGGAACGACCCTCGACTGTTCCACCAAGCATGGAAACAGGGCGCGAATTCATTGGTCAGCAACTACAAGCCCGCGTCAAACGAGGCGAACCATTCTGCCGAATATGCTAAACCCGTGGGACTAAACTCACTCATCTTGGTTGACAACCAGGCGCAGAAGAATGGGTGGCCTAGGCTCTCAAAGTTAGTATGCTTCGTCCACCAATAAATCGAGTTGATCTATGCTGTAGAATATACCCTGCCTACCGAGCCTTGGTCCTTTGCATTTCTCCGGGTGGCTGAGCAGACAGACGGTCGCAGTCACACAGATGAAGCAAAGTAGGCGTACGACGGCTATCGTGTGGATAAAGTAGATGGTCAGTATGAGATAAAGACGTCCGCGGAGTGTGTGTTCATTCATTATATATATATATATATATATATATATATATATATATATATATATATATATATATATATATATATAGGGAAGCACCCATGAGTTTATAATCGCTAACGGTTGGTGTTCACAACTGACTCTCCGACACAATATTCATTGTAAATGAATATGCCACGTTATAGAAATTCTTTATAACCGTTCACCTGGGCGTGTAAGGACTAATAATACCAATATTGATTGGATAGAGCCACGACATGGCCAGCTGGTACGGAGATGGTACTAAGAATTTAGGATAAAGGCTGAGCCGGGTTATTGCATGCCTTTTGTATAGAAGACAAGCTTGGGATCGATCAAACCAATGAACTGCAAATCTATGGGAGGTGACTCAGTGGTGTGGCATTTTGCGGTTAAATAGTTATGTTTGTTATGTATGATCTGAGTTATTGCTAGCTGTAGACGGTAGTTATCTTGGACCACCAATGTATTCAAAGTCTAGCTCACATCAGATAGAAACACCGTGTGGGCAATGAACGCGCTCGGTGCCTTAGTTATGGCAAGCATCAAGCTCCGATAGACAGTAGCGCACGGAATTCAGAGACATGCGTTGTTTGTGAGACCGGAATCTGAATGAAAGAGGAGAGGGCTAGTTGATGACTTGGTCAAAATGAATGGAGACCCTTGTTTCGAAGTTGACTTCGGTTGAAGCCTTCATGGCTGTGATCCGAAGGACAATGAACACATTGGATTAGATGCATCTGACGACATGCCGAAGGGCCAATCTCAATGTTAATGTTGTGAGTTCCTTTATCCCTTCCATTTTGATTAGCCTTCACCTTTACCCACGATATCATTATCGATACACAATAGAAAGCATAATATCACTTGTTCCTAATTTGAGTTACTTTATTTTTCGAATATTGTAGTGTATCGTATTGCGGCACAGTAGCTGAGAGATTTCGCACTTTCAGCTAACATGGGTAACATATGATGAATGAATGATCCAATTTCCTTATCCCTATCGGTGACGATTGCCGTGAATGGGAATGCACCGCACTACTACACGGATTACAGTGGTCCCATTCGGATTAAACTGTATCAGGGGTATGGTACTGGCCAACAGATCAGAGGCAGCCATGTAGTGGAACTAGTCCCATGCCGGTGGCCGAGTGGTCTGCACATTTGCTTTGCAGCCGTAAGGTCACCGGTTCGAATCCGCGTAGGGGTGGGCATCCTCGCGGTATACTTAGCCCGCGCGCGACTGGTGGTGGTCGCGCAGCAGCGAAGCCGCTGTTACGGCGTACAGTTGACAAATTATTAGTATTTATTTATTAGTTCCAGGCCATCTACTTGTTGTATCACACACAGAATCGAGATAGCCGATCTAATCAGAATGGTTGGACTCATCACCGAGCCATAGTGGGATACATCGAGTTATGTGTTCCATTTCTCTTTTCCCAGAAGCTTTAGTTCGTAACACTTGAAATACTAATGCATGTTGGAAACGTTTCCGCAGGAAAAAAGTGGTAGTTAAGGATTTATTTTCGTAGAAAGCCCGAGGTGCAAAGTAAGTACAGGAGTGAGGAGCGTGTTCACGGGGCAGTCAGTGGAGCAAGGAAGTGCATGTATGCTACACGATCCATTTACGTGGTTGTGTATATGTGAAACGTGTAGAATCAGTACAGAGGGCGTGGTTGCCGAAGTAAAGGTATCCCCATGTGTTTTCACTCGCCCTCGGACGGTCTAATTCGCTGATATAACAATTGTTGCCTACTCCATGAAAGTGGGCTCTCTGTTCCATTCGTATGTGTGTCCACAGGTGACCCACGGACAAGGGCATTTCGCATGCTCCAAAACTCATCCCGAACGAAATCGTAGAATTCTTGTTCCACTTGCCAAACTGGGTTCGATTTGAAATATGATCGAGTAGATTCATTGATTGGTGACTTGTTTATTGTCCGTCGCATGTGCCACCCGTTGCTACCGCGAAGTAGCGTCAGTGCACCATTGAAAAACTGTGGGAATATCTTTTCCAACAAGAGAACAAAGTCATCGAAGGCTTCAGTAATGCCGACCAAAACATAGTCTTCTGTCACTCGTCGTTTTGCAGTTTCTAATGCCATGCGACTGCCCGGCACTTGACAATACGCGGCGTGACCACAAAAGAATGGAACCTAAGAAGCAAATGAAAAGAAACACATAATCGGAAAGGAGGATACAAACAGATTTCTAACAATACGTAAATTGTGTGTTGTCGGGTGCTAGTGCGAGAACCCAAGGTGAGAAAGGAGTCAAGCACTGTAGCAGACATCAGCAACTATAGATATCAACTATGACTACCAAATATTGAACCAATTTGCGGACTTTCCCCTGTAGGCTTCGGGGTGGGAGGCGCAACTGTATCCCTTTTCGGTGCACATATATCTGCGGCTCCCAAGTGTTCTCCTACTCCTGGAGCGTTGGTATGGCCCCTGTTAGCCCCTTAACGTTCCGTTTTCTTGATGTGTATATACTACTAATCCTTGGTGCAATAATATCTGCTTTTCGGCCCACCATACAACAATGACAAATATTTCTGAGGATTGTGACATACAGAGAAACATATCAACATTCAATTCAAAGTAAGGATGTCAAAACTCAAAGATAGCAAGTAAAGGGGCGGTAAGTGGGCAGGGACAAGAGGTTGGATTAATGATAAGGTAGTATACTGAGCATCAAGAAAGACCAGTGCTTCAAGAGATCTGCATTCCAACTGGGCAATCGAACTGCGGGTGCCACTGCATCACTGAGCAACAAGACAAAGACTCAATGACTGCCAGTGCTTCTTAGGTTATGAAGGATGAAATGTGATGAAAATCTCTTCAAACCGTCGCGGGGAATAACTAACCATGCCCAATCTGTCGTACCGGGCCTGGTAGACATGGATGGGCATACTACTGTTTAGGTCTTTGTCTTATTATTCCATCACTTGCGCATTTTTATCTTAAGCCCCCCGTCCCAACTTTACAGTTGCCCCCCACTACTCGAATGCGTAGTTCTTGGCCTTATGCCATCATGCGTTGACTTCCGGTTGCGAATCATGCACAATCGCACTAGATCGCTCCCGCTCTGTTGACAAGCCAATGTCCAACCAGGCGGATAAAACCAGTTCATCCGGTATAATTAGAAACATCGATCCTCAGTAAGAATAAGGTGTCTCAGTGTATGCTTTTGTCGCAGCGTTCACTCGAAGAGTAGGGAACTTGTCCATCTGCTGTTTGTCGGAAAACTGCCTACACATTCCAAGATCCGCACTCCCTCTAGTATCCTCTTATGTGAAAATGGCAACGTTTTCTCCCTGCACGTATGCAGAGATAATGCAACGTCAAACGGCGGTGTCGTTACTGCTCTGATCGACAGCATCCCCTCAGTCAGACTGACTGGCTCGTTCAAAGCTCCCAAGCCACAAGGTGATGGCAGGTCATTGCTGCCTAGGGTTGCACAAACTATGTTTAGTGTCATCTATCGTAACACAAACGCCAGTGTCCTCAAGTTTGCCGAGGTAGTGATCATAAAAAAGCATCATCCAAGATTGTGCGTCCAGAAGCAACTATTCGTCACGCCCAAACTCCCTTGGAGTTAATGATGCCTCCTCAACCTGCAGCTACCGTTTACTTCGCTTGCATGTGACCTCCCGAATTTCAACTTACGGATTAATTTTGTCACGTTATCATTTGATAGGTTGCCTGTTTGCAAGTGAACAGAAGACACGAAATGGCACCAACTTGCAACATTCGTCTTTTTATTGCTCTATTCAAGACAAACTTTAGTGCTCACTCCGGTAAAAAATGATTTATCAACAACAGAAAGCACTTCATCGTAGCAGTAATACAGATAATTTAGTGCTGAAAGTTGATCTGAACGCTCCTTGGAAATTTTTTATTGCTGAGCTGCAGCTGGGCGGCCAACACAGTGTAGTCCCCCTTAATGACAACGACCACTGGTCGTTACACCTGCCGACCTATAAGCATATGGATCACAAGACTGTTTAGTAATCAGAAGGCATAGGTTCGAGCCTAAGTAGGGATCAGGCGAACCTCGCAGTATCCTTAGACTACATGCGACTGGTGGTGGTTGAGTGGCAGCAAAGCCTCGATACTGAGTACCGGCATAGTGCTGATGCCTGACCTCGTTACATTTGTGGAATATGATTGTGAGCACTAACTTCCGAAACCGCATCCGTTGAAGAGTAACATGGCGCGAACGAGCCATGAGCACAAACCGATCATAACGAGATTAGTTACTACCTGCTAATTTGGGAAGATAGGTGTTCCAAATACGTGCAAAATTACTGTTGAATCCGACCTGGGTGAAAACAGTTGTTGACTGAGAAACGATTCGTTTTTGACACAGAAGCTTCCTCGGCCCGAGTGAACCAGTCGATGACTGTTATAGCATTTATACCGAGTTGGGAAAACAATCGTGCCGATTGGGATGTCAGTAGACGCTCAATCGCTTTACATGTCAGTATGACTTCGAGTAATGCATGAAACAGCCACAAGTAGTCCACGTTACAAGATCATAAATGTAGGAACCTGTTGATGATAGGTGTGGAGATGTGATGTTCATTCATTGCCTCGAGTCCGTCAGCCGATGCTCTCCAGACTGATCGGGTTAAGACAGCTCGCTACACAATCGAAAGTACTGATCCGTCCATACTGTTTACGCAATTGTTCAGCTTTATAATGTTGACCGCCTCAGCAGACAGCCTTTGAAGCGCTGATGGTGACCTCTTCTTGACGAGTTCGACGTTATCCAATTTCTTCTAATGACCTGTATCTATCGTGTGCATCGCTACTGTCGAATCCATCAGTAGAGCCTTGTTTCGAGAGTGTACAACATCGCTGAGACCGATATTAGTTGTAGAAGATTAAGGAAGAAATCTTTGCGTTTTCCTTGTCAGACTCTGTTCAGCTTTCGTAGCGAAAGTCTCGCAAGTGCGTTTATCAAAAGCCAAAATATCTTAAGATCTGTTCCGAAATTTTGCAAAGTTATTCTATTCGAAGATAGGTCACTTTTGCAACTTGAACTTCAACGCAGGAGTGCAACTAATGTCTTGCCTGAGTCGAAGCAGAGTCGTCCTCTATGCGCGCTTCCTGGAGTGCCAAGGAGGTCATTCAACGGTATCCGATTCTCCCCCTCTAAAACCGCAGATAATGTTGGCAAGACCACTCTCCACAGAAGCGATGATAATGTTGGCGACAGCGTAGCGGAAATTGAGATGCTCACCCCTCCACACCACATTAGGCTTGTGGACATAGGAAATAGTGTAGATTCACTCGATGCACCACGTTCCGCCAAACCAGTAGGGATTGAGATCAATCCCCACGAAGCGATTAAAACGGATACAAGTCCAAAAACCTTCAATGGGACTATCGATAGCTCCAATGATGGTACATTACGACCCATTGACATTATGACTACACATAGCAACAGTGATCATGGCCCACACCCTAAACGTCCTAGATCAAACAGGGGCCTTCATACTGGAAAGGCGACTCCCCGTGTCCCAATGACAGTCGTGAATAATAATGCTGCTACACAGAGTGGCAAGCCACACTTCTTCATTGTTCCGGCGATGTCCCAAGGCTGTTCTTCTGGCAGGCCTGTACATGGCTTTGCTGAAACACAGACCACTTATCTATGCCCCTCTCCATACTCTCTTCCGCCTTCTCCTCTCACAATGCCTTCTGCGAGCCCTTTGGCAATAAAACACTATCCACTTAAACTCAATCGTCCCAAATAACCACAACATGCTTTTTGCATTCCCCCAACCCCTCTGATCCCGATATAACTGGCTAATCTCACAGTAAGGGATTGGCTGTGAAAGGCTCTAGAACTAATGTGATTGCAAGAGTAAATGCTGGCTAGAATGATGAACACCGCCAGGACTTTGCAAGATTGATGACACTTAATATCCGTTCTCTGTTGAATAAGCTTCATTTACTCCACACCCTCATATATCCGAATAAACCTGATTTGATTTTACTCAGTGATACTTGGTGTCATAATTCTATGCCCAGCCAGCTGCTTTCTATTGGTTACAAGCTTAGTAGAAGTGATCGAAAGCAAGGCAGAAGAGGTGGTTGCATAAGTTACTACTCACAAAACCCCATTGTCTTTGAATTCACACTTCCATTCATATGTCCCACTATTGATTCCGCCTGGTTACTCTTGTCTTTCCGGACTAAGTGAACTCTTGTAACTGTATATACCGCTCACACAGGGCCAGCTTCAGTGATGAGAACTAGTTGGTTGACATCTTCAATTACATATCAGAACTAGGTTCTTTTAATAAAGTTGTAGGTGGAGATTTCAACCTACAAGATATCTGTTGGTCACACTTAGTAACAAACGCGAAACATGCTGAGTGCATAACCTCCGTCATCACTGGTGGTTGGGAGCAACATGTTCTCGTGGCTACCAGGGGAAAAAATATACTAGACCTACTTTTTACCTCAGGCACCTCCCAGATAGCTATTGATGTAATTGACGGTCTCCCTGGATGTGATCACAAAATAGTCAGATGTTAACTTATAGCTGAGTCGTCGCATGTGAGGTCTGCGGTGGTTGTACACTTCCTGCGAAATATTAATTGGGTAGATTTCTCAGCTTTGCTTAGGGGCCAAAATTGGGACCACTTCTTTCTTTCGTCTGATATTAAGGGAGTCTCCGATATCTTCTATGACAATGTGGCTATTTGTTTAAGCATACTCGCCTCCCGTGATAATACGAGAGCCTCTTCTAAATACGCTAACAACGAAAAGGACAAGCGGAAAATACGAGTGCTAACTCGAACATATGAACGTACTCACGAGTTCAGCGTATTACCGAGACTCCAACGCCTTATAATTGAGACGGACATGAAACACCACATCCGTCTCAGGTAGGAAGAACAACGGGATGTACGCTATCGGGCGCATTCCAGGTTGCGGAGTGGGGAATGCCTTCCTTGTGAAGGTGACTGCGAATAAGTCTCGTTTGTCTTGCAGGCGAGATGAATAAGCAGTTGCGGACAAACAGCGGTAGCGTCTCAGAGCGTGGGGAGTTCTGGGCTGGTCAGCTGGTTCTCCATCAAATACCACAACAGTTCGTACGGCGCTGCGTCGAAGCCAATGTGACCGGCTATAGGGTT